TCGGATTTTTTTTTCAAATTAATAATTAATACTAGGCAATAAGCAGTATACCCGATTCTAAGAATCGGTCGACCTTCTGTATGTTTGACTAGCTACTTCAACAATTTCTGTAACAAGTTGCGCAAGCGCAGCACAAGTACAAGTGCGGTTTGTTTATTTGCTTTCCCTGTCAACTGTACAATACGCAGCTTTCGTTACAAATCTGAATGTAAGCATGACGCTACCAGACCGTCGTCGTTGAAATGAGCGAAATTAACGTTTATACCCCGTTAGTTAGTTGGCAAGCTGACTTGAACCTTAAGCCACGGTGTATAGGTGCATCTTTCCGGTTCAGATTCGGGAGTCCCGCCATAAACGGTGCTGGAATCTCGATTATTATGCATACGTTTTGTTAGGAATAAATGATAACAGAGTTTATTGTGTTCGGGTTTATTGATGGCAGTGTCAACGGTGGAGTTGGCGGATTGTTTGGCGCTGGGTGTCGGAGGCGCGGTCCTGCGGCGAGCGTAATGAGAGGCCGCGGTGCAGCGGCCGGCGGGGCGGGCGGGCGCGCGGAAGGAATGCGTCGTTTTCGCATCGGGAGAAACGAATGCGTTTAAGCGTCGCGGGTACACAATGGCGGCGTGACGAGATCCGGTTCGCGGGCGGCGCGGGGGCAGGGGCGGGGGCTCTAATCGATAGCCGGCGAGCGACGGCCGGGCGACTGCGGCGCATAGGTGACAGCTCGGGCCCAATCAAATTACCGGCCGTGGAGGAGAGCTGCAGTGCCACGCACGCCGGAGAAACACAAGCCGCCGCCGCCGCCGCCCGCCGGCCCCGCGTCCTCCGCCGCCGAAACTGCATCGACAAGCCTCTATTGTCCGATACACCACCGCCTCACATGCGCTTGCCTATGCAACACATTGACGGATAGTCGTCACTTATCACGCCGCCCGATACGCGGCCGCCCCCACATAACCCCCCTTTGTACGGCTCCAATTTGTTCTCTGTACATAGTCTAGGTAGCAAGTCCGCTCAATCTATGTGCGTTCGATGCATCGACTCTACCTTAACATACACAACAGCGTTGCCAGACGTCCCGATTTTGGCGGGACAACCCGATTTTTAAATCAAATTTAAATGTCCCGCGCGGGACAGGCTCGGTCCCGCTTTTCGGAGAGAGACACTCACTTCACCAAACTATTGTTTGAAACGCCATATTATTCTAAAGAATAAAACATTTTTAATTTTATTCTTTTTTTATTCTAAAGACGAATTTAACGATAGAGTAAATCTGATTTAAAATATTATTTTTTTGTTAAAATACATTTTCTATGGCTACTTTTGCTATATATTGTCACGTAAACGTAATTTTAAGTCAAATAAAAAGATAAATATTTGAAAACCTTTGTTTATACTATACGTTTTTTTTACTATGTCCCGCTTCTGATGGAAGAGTCCCGCTATTTTCACTCAAAAAGTACCAAAGTCCCGACTTGGCGAAAAAAAAAACTGGCAACGCTGATACACAAACTCACTCGCACGCAGGGAATAGTTAAACTTTATATTATTGCAAAAGTAAAAATGCACCTGCGCTTGCACATGCCTTGTTATATCACTAACATTATTAAATGAGCAACATTACCGGACAAAAAAGAAAGCTGCTATAAATATATCAACACTTCAGTTTCTGTGTTCAATAATATACAGAAACTTTGAATTCATTGAAATTATTTGAAATCCATCTCCTATGGAATCAATGGAAAAGCATTTACAAGAGAAAACAAAATTCACTCAGAAATTATTTATTATGATACAATCGTCCCATTACAGTTAACCAGAATGAAATACAGAAACATAAAATGAAGTCTTTGAAATGGATGTAAGCAGAACTATAAAGAAAATCTGATAACTCGAGCCGCTGGTGGCATGAGGTATAAAACAGGGAAACAAAGAACTTTCTTTTTCTCGCAACAAATATCTGGAATAGCGTCAATAAGTATTTATGCAAACTACGCATTGGTAATTTTGGGGAATGTACGAAAAACGTGACTAGACATCCAGATCCAGATATTTCAAGTAATAAGGGTCGGCGCACACTGCGAATGCGAATGGCGCGCGGTGGCGCCAGCCACAATCGCAAACACAAGTCGAATGGGTAGGATTTAAGATCCGAATAAAAGTATGTTGCGTATTTTCCCTAAGCACCACTGAATAAAATTAAGTTGATGAAATGTAGAGTTTCATATTGTACAGTCAGCGTCAAACAGTTCGTGACACCCAAAGTGGCCAAAAAGTTGAGGGCATAACCTTATAAGACGTGTTGCAAACTTTTTGGCTACTTTGGGTGTCACGAACTATTTGACGTTGACTGTACTGTAGATTTTATTTTACGAGACAAAAAGAAAGGATTATAGCCTAGGCGCAGACCACCGACTTTTAGTTGGCCGATAAATGGGCCCTGATTGTAATTTGTATGAAAAATCGGCCGATACCAAATCGGTGTAATTTGCGCACACCATATTAATATGCACACGCATACCAACTAAAATAGGTGGTCTGCGTCTAGGCTCAAACCTCATAATACGAGTATCATAACTATTGCCAACTGTAGAAGTATATTGACACTAAAAGTTTTGTAAGGACCAAACGACATCAATCACGTTCAAAGCGGTTTTACGTTATTGCGGATGTTGAGGGAACGAGACATCTACGAGTTTCATGGCTGAGTATTGGTGTACGCGCATCTAATTATAGGTTATTCCACCCGCGTACCACACAACAGATCCACGTTCAACCATTAACGACCTGTGCACGAATGTACATGTAGCTCTGCATATAGCCGCACTATGTGCATACGCAGCCGGTATGTATACAGAAATGAGATGCAACCGTCACGCGCAATGAACTCTACACGGCCGGGCCAAAGTTTGCCCCAAAAATCACATAGCGTTTTGTAACAAGCATCTGCTAAGTTAATATTAACCCGAATTTTCCCCTTGTTTGGGGACTAAGACCTTTAAATTTTTTGAAAATTGTAATAAAATACGAAATGTAAGGAAGGACACTAATATTTAAAAGCGTGTTTCAAAATACAACTCTACGCGTGCAAAGCAGCGAGTAAAAGTGCTCTACCATAAAGCGACAATAAAATAAATATCTGAGAGTAAAAATGAGTCTTGACATTGAGAACTGAATCGAGGTAACAATATTGCGTAAAAGATAATGGTGCCGTAAAGTTTCCACAAATCGATTGTACGCGTGTAGCAAGTATGAAGCTTACTGGATGTATACTAAAATAAATATCGCTTATACATAGGTAGGTAATGAAGTGGTCGCCGCAATTAAATCCATGACATCATACCCACCATGCGTGCCGCGATGGGAAATAAAAGTACAATTCAATCAACGTGGCTGAGACGTCACTTGATATGGTGTAATAAACGAATTAATTAATTGCTTTGACAATGATCCGACGAACATACCTAGCTGACGGATAAAATATGACGAAGGTTTTCACTATGAAATTGTGTTGTCGCCAAAAAGCAATACTTGGTAAAAAAATTTCACACAGGCATGTAAGCGTGTTGTCAGCTCAAAGTATAAATAATATCGTTAAAATCGCGTGAAAATAATATTTTACTTGGTATTTTATTATTGCTCCTTGCAACTATTGAGAAACCCAAGGCATCTGTGTCATACCGAACCGGCTACTGACGGCTTAGTTTTGCAGACCTGTTTAAAACTTTTACTTGAGATAATTTTCTTCTTAGGTTTTAAATAGATATTTAATATTATCTTTATTTTACCCATTTGAAACAATGGGATCATAAATGTGGGATATTTGCTGAATAATAATAGTTAATAGATGTAACGCACATAAGGCAGAGCAGACTCAGGCAGTGTATGACCTGACCGCCACTGAAAGCAACTGAAAACAACGGACTTCAAACTACAATGCCCTTTGCAGTTGTGGATTCGAGTCCCAGTTGGGGGAAAACGTTAGTGTAGTGTAATGTAGGTAGAGCATAGATGTTCCACAGAGTCATGGTCATTTCATAGTATAAATAATGCATAACGAATTATTTACATAACACACCATTTTGGTTGGTAAAATAAAATTTTGTAAGATAATCTTTTTTGCTCAGCAGTGCAGCAGTGGTAATAATTAGGAAACAATAGGTTGCAAAACACAAAAAAATCCATAATAAAGAAACATAATCAAGCATTCGCTCAAGTTTTATACATAGTACGAATATAAACTTGGAAAAATAAAAGTATGCAAAAACAAAAGTTCAATAAGAAAACAAATCTTTTGATATTGTTTTACGTAATCACATTTTCGTAATAGAGATGTAGACAAATGGTCCTATAAAACGAAATTTTGCATGCCAATAAAGTTTCTGAAGAATACCTTTAAAGATCGAATTGTAAGCATTATTGTAGAGAACATATCCTTAGCAAATAATTACATTGACTTGGAAATGACGTACGTGTAGTCCCTTTTGTTTATTGTCACCTTGTTTATGTGGTTTCTCTACTGTAGTTCTATGAAGATGGTTCTGAAGAAAGTAATATTTATGTTTAAAAGTTCGACTTTTTTATTATTTGTAAGGAGCTTGTTAACTGCCTTAAAATCAATGGGTGTTGAACAATGCGTAGGTATGAAGGTCAAGGTTATAGGTTAGCATTTCCATAGAAAATCTATGTAAACCCATGATTCAGCAACAGCGTTTTTACAACTCATATAAACTGCCATAGCATTTTACTTTTATGACAGTTTATGTGTGTATTTTACACCGGAAAAATAGATAAAGGAGACTACTCTAGTATGTGCTAATATTTTAGAAGATTCCCTAACAAATCAAATACTAATAAGGCTACTAATATTCATGAATGTAGATTGTAGAGTTTGGGTTATAAAGTTTACATAATTATTAAATTTTAGGTTTGTTAATCGTTCCTCACTCTACATTCATCAAGATCTTTGCTGTAACATTCGTATAGCAAGTACAACTTACCTAACGCAGGGTCTAGGACTGCTTGTGCCGCCTGTTCTTCGCCTACGGGCGTCTTAAGGCATATTTTTTTGAGTTTCATTGCAACTGGCGAGTCTTCTGACTGGGCCACTGTAACAAAAGACACAGGTTAAAAACAATATAAATACTATCGGAAGAAACATTAAACATCACGGTGCAGTGTAAAAATAAACTGGTCAACCACCTTTAACGTAAAAGAAAAATCCGTTTTACCGCACCTAGGGCTGCCACCAATACTTTCATAAAGGACAATGACCAAAAGTGGTCCAAATGTCCACCACTAATGAGACCTATATTGGCTTATAGTCCATTAAATAGAGATAAACTTTCAGTATGGGACGAAAAAAAAATAAGCTGTCAGTAAAAAGTTATGACTGTTTGAAAAATTGTAGTAGTTTACGCGCTAATCTCAGGAACTACTGGTCCGATTTGATAAATTCTTTTTGATATGGATAGCTCATTTATCAAGGATGGTTCTAGGTTATATAACATCACCCTACAACCAATAGGGGCGGAGCAGTAAAGACAAAATATGTTGTAAAAATGGGAAATATTATTCAAACTATTTTCACGCCAAAGTTGTAGGCACAGCTAGTTTATGATATAATTAAATTCATCTATAACCCCGCGCCATATGCGACATGACACAACATGCGTAGATTAGTCCAAAATGTGCAATGGATACAATGATATCAAGAACATTTTTCGGATGAAAAGGTAAAAAACATGACTTTTCATTCAGTCATAACTTTTTACTGACAGCATATTTTTGATTGCGGTTTGGTTATAATGAATCAGTATTTAGTAGACTATTTTACTACATAGGTCTCGTTAGTGGTGGACATTTGGACCACACTCCATACATTTTTGGTCATTGTCCTTTTAGACAAAATATACTATTAAAAAGTATTTTCCAAAATGATAATGATGAACAGAAGGAAATAAACTTTAAATTATATCAAAATTCATTATATCATTACCAAGCGCTTAAATCATATTTTCGGCTCATAAATTCAAGAGAATTCACCAGTTATTTTTTGGCCAAGGAACGAAAAAAAAAAATTACAATTTCACGTCAGATTTTAAACATTTTCACTACATTCTAAATTCCGAACTATTACAATCGCGTGTTAACGTTAAGCAGTATAGTTTACGGTCTATAACAATATGATTAATTGAACATAATAAATAATAATAATAATGATGATGATCATATAGGTCTAAAAAATAAATAACTAAAGATACTGGTAAACATTGTGCTTTATACGTGTATGGTAACGAACTTACAAGGCAATCCTACGTGTATCATACGAAGCGGGGAAACAAAATATACTCAACATCAAATAAACCGCACCTTCCGCGACGCGAACTTTAACGATTTTCTTCTGACACAATCATGGTACCCTAACAATATTGGTGTTATTTGAAAGCCCAATAAATATCCTTAAAGAAAAACACATTTAATTTCTTAATAAATGATTAACATATACCATAAATGTGACTTGAAAAAATACCTCACTTTGGGCCCACCTATGGGATCAATTAGACCAATTTTTATGGTTATAAAACCAAATAATGATTTCACGAGTCCTCTTTAACAGATGGATAGCAATTAAATCCAACTTAACAGTTTTATAGCCATAAAAGTTGGCTCTAGCGTAACTACCTATTTTTTGAAGAAGTGACTCTGGATCCTTCTAAAGACACATTTTTGGGGTTAAAACCTTTCCTTTAATGAAATGAAGGTTAGAACTAGGCTTTTCAATGGTACCAATATTGGTAGGAAGTGGGGATGCATACGTTTGAAAATGCTTGTCGCGGGTGGTGCGATTTATTTGACGTCGAGTGTAGATAAATGTGATTGGTCGGTGCCATCGATGATCATCATAAAGAAGTCATGATCATCATCATCATCAGCCAGTTCAATACCGCAGGACTTAAGACCCCAGGAACCCGAAAAGTCTCAAAAGAGTCTCAATATCTCCCTCTTTGAAATGACGAATCCTGCGGTTTACCAATGACATCAATGTAGTAGATTTGACATAACAAGACTCCCTGCGGACTATACTTTGGTTGGCTTCCAATTTGTATGACGAATCGGCCGATACCAAATCGGTGTAATGTGCGTACTTCCATACATGTTCATACTGATTAACATCCCGACCAAACTATCGGCCGACGAAAAGCCTGTAGAGTATGCAGGGACTTACACATTTTTACTGCAATAAAAGCTCCTATTACATCCACATAAGATGCCACATCCATTATCTTGTATGTACGGACTCTACATTTTATTAAGTCGGATTTTGCGAAATACATTAATTAATTAATTCTAAAATTAGAGCCGATGCGGCCTTTACCTCGTTACATTACTCATTGTACCATCAGATACATTGTCTTATCAATTTTTCCGTGAATTTGATAACCTCTTTGACACTATCTAAAAACATCATATGTGATGTATGAGAGTTACGACGTAATTATCTACCTATACTGTATTATGACAAGTGTTTCATATCGTTGTGGGAAACAATGTATTCCTGGATTTAAAAATCAATTAGCCTTACTTACAAGTACATTTATAAGGCATTATTTAATTAGAATCTGATTCTTTTCCTTCTACCGTGTGGGTTTATAACAACTAAGACTTAATGAGCCGCCATAGCTGAAATAAACTTGATTGTGTAACATAATTTTACCTCAAATGATAACATTTGAAACTCTAACTAGCTATTATATTAATTAGTGTTCAGTTTTGTAGTTCAAATGAATGCTCGTTGCAAGCTTTTGGTCGAATGCTTTTGATGAAATATTTTTCTCCTAATTGATTCTGGTTCAGGTTAAAATGACTCTGAAGCATGCCATGAAGAAATTTATAACGATAAAGGCATAGCCACACCTTCTCTTAAAAAAACTCGCACACAACGATTAGCTGACGTCAACAATTTATTCGTAATAGCTGGGTATGCATCGGCATTGTTGGTAGAGTCGCTCAGTTTGCACACAAATACTATATTGAACGTAGTAACATCGAATTATCGTTATTAGTACAAACCACGCTATGTTTTCCTTGGAGATAATAGTGCTATTAATCTATAGTTCCATGCGGACACATGTTCCTACTGCGGTTGACCTTTAAATTAATTAAGTGAAGCAATATTTGAGTTTTTGTAAAACAATTATTTTTTTACTTCCTCGATACTTTTCAATAATCAATACTTCTTCATAGGAGGACGTCCGGCACTGTTTTCTACGGATCATTGTTAGATTTCATTTCTTTTGACCCACGGTCAGTTTTCCAAAATTTGATTATGCATATCGGACCTCATCCCCAGATTAACTAAGCAGGTCCTCAACAACTAGGTGCAACTTGCCGGAAACAACAGTTCACTGAAAGTAGAGTCGTGCTGTGCATTATAGGCAATCAGGAAATGTATAACTGGTAAATGGTGGTTGGTGACGTTATTGGTGCAGCGACCTCGAAATTAAACTAATGCCCGCTACTATATCTAGAATCTAGCTGAAAGGCTGGTGGGATAGTGACACACAAGCAAATGCTCTTCAGCAGCCATTTTCAGTAAGGCCCTTTTCACATGTCCCGGTTGCCGGCTATCCGGCGCCGGGTACCCGGTGGTGAAGTGTATGGGCATGCCGGATTAATTACGCCGGAACATGTGAAAGCTACGTACCATGCCCATACACTTCACCACCGGATACCCGGCGCCGGTTAGCCGGCAACCGGGACGTGTGAAAAGGGCCTAAATGTGCTTTTAAACGAAGATGATGGCACATAGCCCTTGCATCTTTGGGATCGCCATTACAATATAAAATGCAAATATGGACAGTGGACACGATGTCGTCAGCCTCCGGTCGAAGGCAAGGACTATACTTTTCTGTTCACCTCTAGAGAAACGGTAGTGAGTTTCGGCGAATTTGATTGTAATTTTATGGAATAACGCATGGGCACGTCCTTGATAATTTATTCACCCAACACGCACGTGGAATCTATAGGTTAATGAACTTGCCCAAATATTAAATTTGATTAACTTCATATCTTCATCCAAAATAAGGAGCTTCTATTATCTCCTTTATGAATTAAATTCGAGGATCAATATCGACATATTTTATAGTCGTGAATTTTTGTGGCACTTGGCGACCCTACAGTCTGAGCTTGAAGACAAACTGTTGCGCATCTTCTTCATAAAGTGGGACCGAGATCGAACCAGTGACCGAAGTGTTTTATTATTTAACACTCAAGCTCCAACGCGACGTCAATCTGCTGCGGAAAAAATTAACCATTCATTGCTTAACACAGAGCCAGGTGCATCAGGTAACTTACTTAACTTATTTGTGGAAAGAAGATTTCTAACTAATGTAGGATTGCATTGGTTTTGTTTTATATCATGTCGCACAAACAAAACTACATTACCAATCTTACGTGAAAATCGGGTTGGAAACAAGATTCTTTTCAAATTATTCATTACAACAGTTTCATAACCGGAGAGTAAGAATTTCATTACATGTCTTAAAATGCATGAGACAGGTAAATGACACAATTACGCAAAATTTAGCCTTCTAGAGCTGGCTACATCATAAGTGTCGATCACAAAAAGATAGGATAAGTAGGATGTGGAAAATCAAATGTTACGTTTTTCACAAACATAGCGGTAAAAGATAGTTACGGTTGATTTGTATGAAACATGATTATTAGAGTATTTCGGAGAATCTTATTTTAATTAGCCCTGAAATAAAAGAGCCCTATCAATCCCAAGTCAATGACTTATGTTAATCCTTTGATATTGTAACGTGATTATGAAAAAGAAATTAATTTTAGTAAGTACATATTGTTTAATTCGACTAAAACAAATTAAGCATTCGCAGCATCGGGGCTATTGGACTGGACATGACCGCAATGAGTCAGCGCGGACGCAACGATGCGATGTTCTTTATTTACTCTCCACCATGTTGTTATGTTAAAACGAGATTAACTCTACCAGACGGCTCGCTCTAGTCATTGACCGATCAGGTGTTGCATGCGAGTAACACATCGTATAAGGCAAATCCCGCGTATTTGTAATATTTGTATACCA